GAGTTCTGGGAGCCACTCTAGCAAATTAACCCAACCCGGAGCGGGGGGCGGGGGGCCATGGGAACCTCTGATTTTTTTTTTTAAAGCTTTTATTTATTTATTTGACAGACAGAGATCACAAGTAGGCAGAGAGGCAGGCAGAGAGAGAGGAGGAAGTAGGCTCCCTGCTGAGCAGAGAGCCTGATGTGGGCCTCCATCCCAGGACCCTGAGATCATGACCTGAGCCGAAGGCAGAGGCTTAAACCCCCTGAGCCACCCAGGCACCCTGGGAACCTCTGATTTTTAACCGGTGGCTCAGAAGCACAGGAGACAGCCCAGCCCTGTGACTGACATCTGAAGTGAGGAGAGGAGTGCGCTTGTGGGACTGAGCCCTTCGCCTGTGGGGTCTGATGCCATCTCCAGGTAGATCGTGCAGGTAGATCGTGTCAAAGTTGGGTTCAGTGGTAGGACACCCAGCCCATGTCCCAGAGAGCTGCTGGGTGTGGGGAAACTCCCCCACATTTTGGTGACCGGAAGTGTTGTGAGCATGGCAGTGAGGGTAAAGGAGGAGCATAGGATAAAGAAGAGCTGGGTCTTTCCATCTATGGGAGGAAGACTGGGTGGGGTTTGTTTTTTTTTTTCCTAATACACATTCCCTCCCCCCTTTTCCTTTTTTTAAATGATTATTTTTTTTATTTTTAAAAATTTATTTATTTATTTATGAGACAAATAGAAAGAGCAAGCACCAGCCAAGGGAGAGAGGCAGAGGGAGAGGGAGAGAGAAGCAGGCTCCCCACTGAGCAGGGAGCCCCATGTGGGGCTCAATCCCAGGACCCTGAGATCATGACCTGAGCTCAAGGCAGATGCTTAAACGGTTGACTGAGCCACCCAGGTACCCTTCTTTGTTTATTTGAGAGAGAGCAAGAGCAGGAGGGGCAGAGGTAGAGGGAGAGGGAATCTGAAATGGACTCTGTGCTGAGAGCTAGCTCAATGCAGAGCTTGATCTCATGACCCCACCGTCAATTGGGACCTGAGCCAAAACCAAGAGTCAGAGGCTTAACTGGCTCCACCACCCAGGTGCCCACACCCCTTTTCCTTTTAAGAGAATCCTGATTTTGTTCAAGCATCTACCTTTCTTTAGTAGCCAGATGATGTGAGGGAAGCCTTAGGAGTGGGATCTGAGTATATTTTGCTCAATATGGTGGTTCCCTGCCCCCTGCCAGCAATTGTTGTAGGCATAGGTGAATGAAAGAAACCAGACAAATAAAATGTGAGGGCAAGTTGGCTTGGAAGGGTTGGGTTAAGCTTTCTTTGTTAAAAAGAAAAGACCCAAGAAGAGATGGCCTTTTGTTATTGCCTCTGAATGTGGGTGTGATGTCTGGAATTGCAGCGGCCATCTTGGGGCCATGAGGTGGAACAAGCCTGAATGGACCCTTTAGGGCCTAGCGGAAAACATTGAATTAGTCAACTCAGGAACTGCCCTAACTCATGATCTCTTGTCATTTAGATAATCAATTTCTTCTTTGTTTCAGGCATTTTGAGTTGGGTGTCCTGTTCCACACATCCCTGGCCTCTGTGTTGCCTCTGATTCATATAGAATACAGGGACACAGCCCTGCTTGCAGATTAAAATACTCCAAATGACAGTTCACTTTTTCAGTTGGCCCCCTGTCCTTGTGGTAGGATCCCGCACGGGGTTTGCTCTCCGAGCTCAGGCTAAACGGACTGCATACCACGGGAGTTGCAAGGACAGTAGATGCCTGTTCATGACCTGAACAACTGTACTAGCTTCCTGACTTAGGGGTGAACTTCCCTGGCATAGCAGAGAGGGTCAGAGCCAGAGGCCTGACCCCAACTAGACCCCATCAGAGTCTATCTGCTAGCTCAAGTTTTAGAACTGGGACCCAAGGAGATCTTGGTACTTGACATTTCAAGGGCATATTTGGCTACTCTGTGTGAAGCAGAAGAAGGGGGTTCTGTGGGGAGACAGAAAAATAAAGTGGAAGCCCATGAGGGAAACCACAATTCAGAGAGAGAAAGAGGAGAGAGAGAGAGAGAGAGCGACAGAGACAGAGAGAGAGAGAGATTCTGCAAAAGGGAGACAACCTTGGTTTCACACAGCTTTTCAGTTCTCTTTCTTGTCCCTCATGAGGCCCAGAGACCTAGCTCTTGCTTGGATTCTAAACCTCCAATAACATTGTCGTTTTGCTTAAGTCAGCTTAAACGGATTTTATTTCTTGCAACCGAAATCCCCGAACAAAAACTTGGGAGCCATTAACGATGAGGTCCTGATCACAAGCTCTGGTGTAGAACATTATGAGAAATGTATCCTGAGCCTCAAAATATCTGCTGGAAGACATTGTGGGACATGTATTTCAAGCCTCTGATCCTCACTGGAGGGCATGCTGGGAGATGTAATCCTAGTTCCCCATCTCTGCCACAGGGTCTCATGGGAGATGCAGTCCCAGCCTCCACGCCTGCTGTAAGGCATCATGGGAAATGTATTCCTAGCCTCTAGTCTCTGCTGGAGGGCGTTGTGGTGGACGTAATCCAAGCCTCCAACCTCTGTGGTAGGTAACCATGGGAAAGGGGAGAAACTACCCTCAATTTTAATTGTAGAGTAGCTCAGAAAATGTTATCTTGGCCTCATCTCTGCTGTAGGACATCAGGACAGATACAGCCCTAGCCAGTTTTTGTTGTAAGATACTAAAGATGTGATCTTTCCTTCCTTCGGTCCTTCTTTTCCTCCTTTCTTTCTTAATTACCTGCCATGTTCCAGGCATTATTCATCTTGGTACTGCGCATACAGTAGTAGCGAAGAAATAAAGGTCTTGCCCTTTATGGAGATTATAGCGGGGAGAGTTTGCAAACTACCAAACAAATGACTATTCCCATTAACCATCGCAGCATAAAAAAATGCCCCAAAACTCAGTGGTGTGAAACCATAACCTTTTTATTTCATGATTCTGTGGGTCAGGAATTTGAGCAAGGCACAGCAGGATCGGTGCATTATCTATTCCACAATGGACCCCGGCCCAAGGCGGGGCTGGAACAGCGGGAGGTGGGTGGGATCGTTCATAGGGGGCCATATTGAAACCTTGGCTCTGGCTGCTGACTGATGTTGTGGAATGAATTCTGCCTCCCCCCCCATACATTGAAGTTCTAACCCCCAGGACCTATGAATGTGAGCTTATTTGGAAATAGGGTCTTTGCGGATGAGATTAAGATGAGGTCACCCTGGATTAGGGTGGGTCCCTAAATCCAATGTGTGGTGTCCTTATAAGGACAGGGAGAGATTTGGAGCCACACAGCGGGATTCACTGAGAAGAAGGCCACATGAGGACAGAGGCAGAGATTGGAGTTGCGTGGCTGCAAGCCCAGAAACACCAAGAATTGTCAGCAACCCCCAGAAGCCAGGACGAGGCCAGGAAGGATCCTTCCCCCAGCAACTTCGGAAAGAGCATGGCACTGCCAACATCTTGATTTCAATTTCTAGCATCCAGAACTCTGAGCGAATATATTTCTGTTGCCGGAAGCCCCCCAGTATGAAAGTTGGTAGTGACTACGGTGGTCCTGGGAAACTGAAGACAGCCAGGCTTCCCGACGCTCCTGTGTGTTACATCTGGTGGGGGTGTGACGTCTAGGGCCACCCCTTCACCCACTTGTCTGGTGTCTGGGCTGAGATGGATGGAACATCTGGGGCTCTCTCCCCAAGTGGCATCCATGCATGAGTAGCGTGGGCATCCCCAGAGCACGACAGTCTCTCCGCGCAGGATTGTGACATGGCAGCTGGCTTCCCCAGAGCCAGTTTCTTAAAGCCTCCTGGAACGTGCCATGGCATAACTTCCACCACATTCTATTGGTCAAAGCAGTCCCAGAGCCACTCACGTTCAAGAGGTAGAGACACTGAGCCCACCTCTTGAAGCGCCGTGGTGACCCTCCGTGTTAATGTGATTTGAGGAGGTCCTAAAAAGAAACCCTGTCCCTTGCCTGCCCCCAAATACCATGGAAGATGTCTTATCCTTTTCTTCATTAGCCATAGGGTCCTGGGGAACGTAATTTTGTCTCTTTGGGCTTGCCTCAGCAAATCAGAGGAAACATGAATTCTTCAATATTGTGCCCCAAGAGTGTCATGGAAATGAGAGTTGTCTTTTTTATTTAAAAATTTTTTTAAAGATTTTATTTTATTTATTTGACAGACAGAGATCACAAGTAGGCAGAGAGAGAGAGAGGAGGAGGAAGCAGGCTCCCCGCTGAGCAGAGAGCCCAATGCGGGGCTCGATCCCAGGACTCCAGGATGATGACCTGAGCCGAAGGCAGAGCCTTTAACCCACTGAGCCTCCCAGGTGCCCCAGAGAGTTGTCTTTTTCTCAGTCAGTCTGAAGGCATCCTAGGACAAAGAGCCCTGCCTTTATCTCCTGCCAGGGCAGTCACCGGGGGAAAGGTAGTCCTGTCCGATTCCTCAGTGGAGGGCCCCTAGGGAGTTCTGGCCATTAGATTATCCCTCCCATTCATCTGAGGGTCTCAGAGCCCCTTAGGAAATGCAGATGCCTCTCCCTGGAACAACGGAGCAGTCTTGACCTTTGGAGCTTGGGAGGAGAGACAGGAAGGTTAGTGCTTGGATGAGTGAGTTGGAGCCCAGAAACAGATGTGGAGGTAGCTTAGGATGGAAGCCCATGGACAACTGCTCCCAAGGCTGGGGCCCTAAATGCTGGGGTCCTACAATGTGACTCCTAATTCCAGGAGCTGGATGAAAGATGCCCCCCCATTCATCCTCCCAAAAAGAGATGCTACAGAGTAGAGAAGATAAGGCCTTCCTCAGTTCACTGGTACAAAAATCTTTATTTAAGTATAAAATATTAAATAAAAACAAATATTAATTAATAATAACAACAATGGTACAACAACGCTAACATAACAAGACCTCTCCTGCTGGCCTGCAGTCTTTGTCCAGCTTTTCTCCTCTGGTTCTCCAACTCTGTGAGACAGCTAGGAAAACTGAGACCCAGAGAGGGCAGTACACTGGCCTGAGGTCACACAGCAAGTCTAAAGGGCTGGGAGCTGAGGGGAGGGCAAAGGGCTCCCCTGGATCCAGCCAGGGTAGGGGGAGTGTATGAGGGGGTCAGGTCCAGAGAAGAGTGCCTCCCCATAGTCTGGCGGTTATAAGCAGGGTGGTGGTGAGGCTGAGGTGGGCAGGACCAGGCCGGGGGGCACCACCCATGCGGGGCTGGTGATCCTGGACCGGGTGGTTACAACCGGTTCCAGTACAGCATGAGACGTTGAGATGGGTCAGGCTGAAGGCTTCAGCCACATGGAGACTCTGGCACCACGAGGGGGTCGCGCAGCCTCGTACTGTGTAGATCGGGTTGCCCAGCCCTGAGGAGAGAGAAGACTGCTTGAGACTCCCAGATCCTGGGGCTGGGGCTGCAGTGCTCAGTAGGTGACCTGCCACCTGGTGGTGGACGCTACCTGAAGAAAGCAGCAGTTTCAAGTGCGGCCCCCCAGACCCTTCTTGGGGGAACCCAGAAGTCAAAATAATTCTAATAATGCTAAAGCATCATTCGACTTTTCCACTCGTGTGAGTGAACAGTGGGGGGTTTTTTCCAGAAACCCTGGGACATGTGAGTTTGCAGCCGATATGAGGATCCAGCTGTCTTCTATTAAGCCAGACGTGAAAGAGATTTGCAAAATGGTAGAACAACGCCAGTCTTCTTGTTAAATGTTTTCATTTTGGAAAATATCATTTTTTTAAGTAAAAAATATGTTATGTTCATATGGAATGAGGTTTTATTTTATATTTTAATTTTAAATCAATTTATTTTAGAATAAATTAATAGGGGCGCCTGGGTGGATCGGTCTGTTAAGTGTCCAACTCTTGGTTATGGTCTCAGGGTCATGAGATCAAGCCACGAGTCCGGCTTCACGCTGAAGCCTGCTTAAGATTCTCTCTCTCCCACCCCCCACCCCCCCAAAAAAAAAGAGAAAAGATTCTCTCTCTCCCTCTCCCCATCCCCCACTCACGGGGTCTCCCACTTTCTAAAAACATAAATAACAAATAAATAATTTACATCTCTTAAAATATCTCAGTTTTAACTTCTAATGCAGTAACTATCTATAGCTATAACTGACACAAGTAATAATTTTTAAGAGCATGAAGGAATTTCTGGGTGAAAAAGTTTGAGAACCACTGGAACAGAGAGACCCGCCCAGTATGACCCAGGATGGAAGCCCGCCATGGCCACAGGAAGTCCCACCCATCCCTTGTGGGAAGTCCCACCCCCTTGTGGAAGTCCCACCCCTCGTGGAAGTCCCACCCACCGGAGAAGTCCACATTTCTGTGGCTGGAACGCCCATTTGTTAACGAAGTCCCAATTCCTGAGGACACTTGGCACCCTCTTGAAGAAAGTACTACCTTCTCCACAGGTAGACCCAGCTCCATGAAGTCCACCTGTGGCCCACAACCCTCCCCGGCAACAAGCATCCTCTCCCAGCCTCCTAGAAGGGCTCACCATTAGTGCCCGTGGCTTCCAGACATTGATTCATGGGGCCTTGGCAGGCGGTCAGGGAAGTTTCCTCCGACGAACATCCATGGGTGCTGTTTCCCTCACAGCTGTAACACTGGAGGCCATTCAGAGGCAGGTTTTGAAGCTCCACGACTTGGGAGAAGACAAGTGACACAGAAATCAAGGAAATTAGTATGGGGGTGTGGGCAGGTGGGGTGAAGGGGTGTCCTTCCTTGTCCTACCTCCCCTAGAACTGTCAACTCGCAGCCTGAGATGTCATGGCGCCACCTTGTGGTCAGGCATTGGAACAGCACTCTTTTGGTGAGGGGGGGGCTTTTTTTTTTTTTTTTAAAGCTTTTATTTATTTGAGAACTATCTCAAATAGAGTGGGAGAGAGAGCACAAACTGGGGCGTAGAAGGAGAGGGAGAAGCAGACTCCCGCTGAGAAAGGAGCCAGATGCGGGACTCAATCCCAGGACCCGAAGGTCATGACCTGAGCCAAAGGCAGATGATTGACTGACTGAGCCACCCAGGCGCCCCTTCTGGGGGATTCTTTATTGTACCTGTGAGAGAAATCCCACCTCACCGCCCCTCCTGAGCCCCTATCTGATCCTATGTGGCAAGCAGCTGTGGAAGACGAAACCGTCCCTGCCCTACAGCACTTACCACTTAGAGCTACACTGTCCAACGTGGTAGCCACTAGGCACTGTGGCAGTTTACATTGATGCTGAAATGAATTTGTATTCACGAAAACTCAAAATTCAGGTCACATTTCAAGTGCTCAATAGCCATATGAGTCAGTGGCTACCATATTGGACAGTATGGATAGAGGACATTTCTATCACTGTGGAAAGTTCCATGGGACAGTATTGGTTTATAGAGACAGAATAACACGAAGGAGCGAGATTATAGTGGAGGGGAGGGACAAGGGATGTTTCCCTGCAGACGGTACTTTAAAGCTGAGACCTAACGAATGAGAAGCAGCCAGCCAGGTAAACTCTTGGGGAAGATGTGTTCCTGGTGAAGGGTACTGGTTGTGCAAAGGCCATGAGGCAGAATGGAGTTTGGCAGTTGCAGAAACTCAGTGTAGACGACAAGACAGACAGATGTCAGATTACATAAGGCCTGGGATGGTCTTTGGATTTTATTCTGAGAGCAAGGAAGGGTTGCTGGAATACCTGAAGAAGGAGAGTGACGTGCTCTGGTTTACATTTGTAAGAAGTCACTCTGTGTTGAGCACTGGCTGTAGGAGGCAGGCGTGGAAATGGGGACCGGTGGCATGGACCATGAGCGTGAAAGGATTCAAGGAAGTATAAAGCATGGGTCTTTGGTAAAGGTTGGATGGGCACATCGAATTTTCACAGAAGCCTTCTTTGAGAAGGGGTTTTCACAGGAGACAGACACCTAGAGAGGAGGGGCCGCAGCCCGGGTATACCTCCCTGCCCTGACCCCAGGTCATACACTGCGTGGGTCCCCTGCCCCTCACCTGAGCCTCCATTGCATTTGGTGGTGTTGCAGCACTGCAGGAAGTGGAAGGTGTGGTGGTTGTGAAAGCCGGCGGGGCCCGGGCAGCCCGGAAGGTTGCCACAGCCGCGGGTGTGGTGCTCATCCCTTGGACTGCCTGTGGGGGCCAGAGGAGAGAGGTCAGGTTGTTCAGGGGCTGAGACTGGCTTTGCCCACCACCACTGCAGTCATCTGTTCATTTCCTGCTTCACTGCTCATTATAGGACCTTCATTTCATTTGGGGCAGCCATATATCTAGGCCAAAAACAAACAAACAAACAAACAAACAAACAAAACAAAACACATTTTCCAGCTTCCATAGGTATAATCATGTGGCTAAGTTCTGGCCAATGTGATATAAATAGAAAGGTTTTATGGGACTTCAAGAAAGGAGAACCCTCACATTGGAGGGGTATCTGTTTTTTGTTCCTTTTCCTCTTTCTCCTTCCTGGAACTTGGACATGAGATTTGGAGCTCTGGCAGCCATGTTGGACTATGAGGCAATCTTCAGAATGGAAGCAATATACAGTGCATCTGGGTTCTTGGTGACTGTAGAATTGTTCTAGTGGCCCAGGACTTCCTATCACTAGACTTTTTGTGTGAGGGCCCTAACTTTCCACCTTTAAGTTCTTGTTATTCTGGGGTCATTGTTAAGGGCAGCCTTGGGGAGAAGCAATGCAGGGGGGAGGAGGTGCTGTGAGGTTGGAGCTCACCTTCCAGGCTCCGATGGGTCACCACTTCCACACACTGTTCTGTAGGGCTGCGGCACTGTAGGCTCTGATCCCAGCCCCTCTCACAGCTCAGATCTGAGGAGGCGCAGGAAACACATTCGAGGTAACGGCTTCGGGTTCGGGGAAAGGTGGAAGTCCGACCTGTTTGGGGAGGGGCAGGAGGATGACTCCATGGGGAGAGTTCTGGAATTCTAGCTCCCTTAAAGACTCGCCTTAGCATCAATTCCTCCTTATCTCACTTTTAGCCGATCATCAAAGCCCTGCTCATCCCACCTCCTGAATCTTTCTAGCATCATCCCCTCCTTTCCAGCCCCATGACCAGGTCAGAACTCCTTCAATACCAGGTTCCTCCCTGGCCTCCTGGTTTCCACCCTTGCCCCCCAGGCCTAACCAGTGCATCCCCAGATGGCCCTAGAAAGATGTTTCTTTTTCTTCTTCTTTTTTTTTAATTAACATATAATGTATTATTTGTTTCAGGTGTACAGGTCTGTGATTCATCAGTCTTACACAATTCACAGCGCTCACCATAGCACATACCCTCCCCAGTGTTCATCCGCCAGCCACCCTATTCTTCCACTACCTCCCCTCCAGCAACCCTCAGTTTGTTTCCTGAGATTATGAGTCTCTTATGCTTATGGTTCGTCTCCCTCTCTGGTTTCGTCTTGTTTCATTTTTCCCTCCCTTCCCCTATGATCCTCTGTCTTCTTTCCCAAATTCCTCATATCAGTGAGATCATATGATAATTGTCTTTCTCTGATTGACTTATTTCACTTAACATAATACCCTCTAGTTCCATCCATGTCGTTGCAAATGGCAAGATTTTGGTTTTTTGGTGGCTGCATAATATTCCATTGTGTGTGTGTGTGTGTGTATATATATATATACACACCACGTTATCTTTATCCATTCATCTGTTGACGGATATCTAGGCTCTTAGAAGGATGTTTCTAATATTTAAATCTGGCCCTGCCTGTGCTCTGTTCAAAATCTCTCCGTGGCTCCCCAGTGCCCTCAGAATAAAATCCAAGCTACTCCATGTGGCATTCAAGGCCCACCAACCTCTGGGTCTGGGCCACCTCTCCTGCCTCATCTCCCTCCACTAGCCCCTCAGACTTTACCCCCTATGACTTCCCACAGCCCCTGAATGTGCATGTTGACTGGCATCCAGCCTTTCCTAGAATGCGCTCCCTTGCTCCCTTGGCTCCCTACTTTCCCCATCTGCTCCTACTAATTGTTCAGGCATCATCTCAAATCTCACCTCCTCTAAGAAGTCCTCCCTGACCTCCCAGACTGGATCAGTGTGCCCCTCGGGGCTCCCCAACTCCAGTCACACCCACTCTGGGTCATCCCTGTCTGCCTGGACTCTGAGCCCCAGGAGGTGGAGCCAGGGCTGTCCTGATCATTACTGTGTCCCAACACTACCCATCACAGGGCCAGAGCCAGAGAAGACATTCAGTAAATATTTGTTAAATAAATGAATGAAGATTGTTTAAAACCCTGCTATTGTTCTCTGTGGTAGCCAACCTCCGAGACGGCCCCCGGTGACCCCCACTTCCTGGCACACACGCACAAAGAATAGGGCTGACCTGTGTAACTAATGGGATATTGCGGAAATGATGGTGTATGACTCCTGCACTAGGTCATAAAAGGCATCACAACTTCTTCCTGGCTCTCTCTTGGATGACTTGGTCTGGAGGGTGTCCAGCTGTCATGTGGCTAGAACATTCAAACACCCCATGGTGAGGTCTACGTGGCAAGGAACGAAGGCCTTTGTCCAAGCCACAGGAGGGGTCCATCCATGTGAGTAAAGCTCCCCTGGGAGCCTTGGGATGATGACAGCCCTGCTGGCGTCTTGACTGCAACCTCATGAAAGATCCAGAACCACCACCCTAAGCCACTTCCAGACTCTTTAGAATCTGACCGTCAGAAACTTTGTGAAATAATACCTGCTCATTTTTGTTTTTAAGATTTGGGACAATCTGTGATGAGGTGATAGGTAATTAATGCACTACCCGATGTGTCAAGGATCCAAGCCTGTCTTGATTAATCTGTGATTACACTGCCTCTCGCACCTCCTAGTCCAGGCCAAGGGGGTGAATTATTTTCCCCTGGAAACACTAGAGTCAGTTCCCTGGCCAGGCCTTGGCTCACTCAGACTATTCCGAAGCCTGGCACGCCCTCCCCTTCCTGACCCCAAATATCCAAGTTGAGTTGGGGCCAAGTCCTACATGAGAGAGAGGGCTTGTCTCAGCCATTCTCTCAGCTCAGGCCAACTGCTGGAATTAGGCGAATCATTTAGGTCCAAGGCCAAATCTTCCCCAACCCTAAAGAAAAATCATTAAAATGTCAACAACTCATATCTTCTTACATGAACTTCCATGAAAAGGAAACATGGAGTGCCGTCACTGCCATTATACCATCCTTGGGTCCCCTCATGAATTCTACTTCTTATGCTGCTCTTCTAAATGTGGGTGATCCTTGGGGTTCTGTCTCAGGCCCTTTTCATTTCTCATGGAGCACATTCTCTCCCATGGGATGTTATCCATTGACATGGCTTCATTTCCATGCATCGGCTGGAAACTCACTGCAGGCAGGACTTCTCTCTGAGCTCCACACCTGTACACCCACCTGCCTCTGGAAAGGCCCCCTGACCATCCCTCAAACACCTGCATCTCTACCTGCTCCAAAGGAAGCTCTCCATCTTCTCTAAACTAGTCCTTCTCTCCTCAATTCTATATCTGTCATGTGGTCCCATTCAGTCCCCCACAGCAGAAACCTGGCAGGTTCCTTGATCCTCCACATCTAGGCACCATTCTGGAGACTTCTACTGCCTGTCTTCTAGTTCTCTAATCCTTTTGCCCCACTGCTTCTGGTCTCTAGGAAGCACATCTATCGAGTTCTTAATTCCAGTCACTATTCTGTTTCCTGTTTGACTCTTAAAACAAAAACAAAAACGGACTCCACATTTCTGCCAAAGTTTATCCTTTCCTCTATTTTTTTGGACTATATGGATCATGGCTATTTTAAATTTCTCTGTCTAATAACTCCATTATCTGAATCATTCTAAGTCTCTTTCTACTGTTGGATTCGTCTCTAGGGGTCCTGTTAATTGGTCCTTTCAATTTTCTTTGGGGTACCTTGTAAGTTTTGACTAGATGTCAGATACCACAATGAAAATTTGGAAAGGCTCTAAATAATGTTATTTTCTTCCCAAGAAGGTTAGGTTTTCTTCTTGCTGAAGATGAGATGTAGGCATCCTTAGGGCGGGTCTCTTTCAGTTTTGCCCTTATGCCTAGGGTATGGTCTCAGAGGAAAGCTTGGTGTGGTTACCAAGTCCTCTCTCTCCAACCTGGCAACTTTGGTTTCCCCAGCATCATATGCCTGCTGGAATTCTTGTTCAATTCTGTAGCTTCCCAGATACTATTTTCTGCTGAGTTTCTTGGAGTCCCACCCCGTGCACGTACAGCTTGCCAATGACTTAAAGGAAATCTGCAGATTTGGGGACTCCCTTTTCTGTGGTGCCATACATTCCCGGACTCTACCTCTCATTTTCCAGATGCTCTGGCAGCCCTAGACTCTATCTAACCCCTGGCTTCTCCGTCTAGCAAAGATCTCTCTTATTTGGGTTTTATTTCCCCTTCACAGCGTGAATCGGAAAGTGCACTCCAGGATAAAGCCAGCTTTCTGCATAACTCAATTTCTGTGCTTCCCTTATTTCAAAGATTGTAGCACCTCAAGTTTCTCTCTTCGTTAGCTGTTCTCCAGTGACCTCAAGTAATTGTTTATAACTTGTCCAGCTTTTCTGGCTGTCTTTGGCAGTTTAGTCTGATACATGGGACTCCATCGTGACCAGAGCTGCAAACCCACCCCCATGTCTAACCCATCACTAAGTCCTGCTCAAGCGTTCTTAAGATCTATCCACTTCTCTCCATGGTTCTGGCTGACATTCGAATGCAGTCACTCTCCTCTTCATCTGGACAACCTCACCACCTCCAAGTTGGACTGCCCTCATCTAATTTCCCTCCATCATTCCTTTCCTCTGAGGTCAGAATAATTTGTTTAAAAATACAAATCTGATCACGACACTCTCTGCTTAAAACCCTTTTATGACTGGGGCACCTGGATGACTCAGTCGGTTGGGTGTCAGACTCTTGGTTTTGGCTCAGGTCATGATCTCATCATTGTGGGATCGAGCCTCCCTCCTCCTCAACCCGTTGGCTCCACATTCAGTGGGGAGTCTGCTTGAGCTTCTCTCTCTCCCTCTGCCCCTCCCCCTGCTCATGCGCACGCTCTCTCTCTCTCTCTCTCAAATAAATAAAAAAAAATCTTAAAAAAAACCCACAAACAAACAGGGGGTGCCTGGGTGGCTCAGTTGGTTAAGCAGCTGCCTTTGGCTTAGGTCATGATCCCAGGGTCCTGGGATCGAGCCCTACATCTGGCTCTCTGCTCAGCGGGGAGCGTGCTTCTCCCTCTCCCTCTGCCTGCTGCTCTTCCTACTTGTGCTCTCTATCTCTTTGTCAAATAAATGAAAAAACAAAAAACAAAACCCGAAAAAACCCCTGAGGCATCTCGGTGGCTCAGTCAGTTAAGTGTCCAACTCATAATTTTGGCTCAGGTCGTGATCTCATGGGTCACGCTATCAAGCTATCAAGCCCCACATCGGGCTCCTTGCTCAGTGGGGAGTCTGCCTGAGATTCTCTCCCTCTGCCCCTCTCCCCTCTCCCCACTCTTTGTGTGCGCGCGCTCTCTCTCTCTCAAATAATTAAATCTAAAAAACAAACAAAGAAAAACTCAACCCTTTTATGACCTCCCCCTGTTGCCCAGAGGGTCTATATTCCTCACCATAACCTGGAAAGCCCTGTGTAATGTGACCCTGCCGATTTCACCAGCTCCTCTGTTTTTTCTTTCCTCCAGCCATACCACTTTCAGTCACGTTTGGGCCTTGGTGTCCATTGCTTTTCCTCGAAAACTCTTTCCACTGTTTTTTGTTTTTTTTTTAACAGTCTGACTCCTGCTCTTTTCTCAAGATCCAGCTTATCTGTTGCTTCCTGGAGGAAAACTTCCTTGACCTGAGTCCGGTGTCTCTCCGAGGGTCCCACAGCCCCTACTCTTCATTCATGCCAGCCCTGATCACTCTGGCTGCCGTTTCCCTTATCTCAGTCCTGAAAATTCTGGACTGTACTTCTCGACCACAGCTCTGAGCCCTCTAAGACCAGAGGTCTCAGGGTCCTGACCCTTCTGCTTCTGCTTCCCCATCCTCGCTCTGACTATAATCGGAGGAGTCACTGTTGGGTGATGGGTCCATCACCCCCACTCACCCCACTGACTATAAGCCCATGGGAAGACCCCAAAGCTGTCTTGGTCATTTCTGTATCCCCAGGATCACGTAAATACAGAATGTGATTTAACCAACTATCTCAGTTACCACAGGCGGGGTAAAAATGGCCTGAGAAATGGGGGCTGATATCACTTTACCACTTATTAAATTACTGAATTGACAGTGGCTGCCCCAAGCTTGGTGGTGGACCCCTGACCACTCCCAACTCTCTCTTTAGAGCCTTATGTCTCCAAGATCCATCAGCTAAAGAGGGGCTCCAGGAGTGTTCTGATTGGTCAATGCCTTGACTGATGTTGTTAAATCTTCTGAATATTATCTATGATAAGAATTACTTAGACTCAATTATCAGTGCTTTCCTAAAGCACATCTAACAGAAAGCTGAAGCCAGCTTCCCTTCTCTTGGCACTTCCTTAAAAATCAACATCTGAGTCAGTCCCCGCCAACAGACAGAGGAAAAGTCTGGGGTCAGCATGGATGAATGAGAAAGAGGGCCGACGTAGGTGGTCTGCTTACTGATGTCACTGGGACTGGCCTGGCCTTAACCAACTTCCTTCCTCACCAGGCTCTGAAAGAGGAATCTGCTCGCACGACCATGCAACACGGAGCCATGACTTCCCACCCTCTCCTGCAGAATTGGAGAACCTGAGCCTTTCTAAGTCTTTTTCTTAAATAGGCATTTGAGAGTCAGGGCTGGTGGGGATGGGATTAAGAGAATGACGAGTGATGGACAAGTCAGGGAGGATGAGGGCTGCCCAACTCACCAGGGCTGGGTCGGTTGCACAAGTCGGTAGCACAAAGGGCCTCCGTAAGAGTGATGATCTGCGTGCCTGTCCGATAGCTCATGGTCCTGTTGCTCTTCTCGGGGTGGGCACAGCCTCTTTCCACCACCTCCAGCTCTTCACCTCCTGGGAGGAATGCATCTTTGTCACCCCAAAGGCTCCCCTGGGCCCAAACAGCCTGACGCTCCCTGTCCTAAGGTCACCCACTTCCAGGGCTGATCCCTGCCAGGCCTCCTCTCTTGGGTCCAGCTGTCTCCCCTCCTCACTCTCCCACCACAGCGAGCCTGTTCTCTCTTAGTGATCGCACTATTGCCGAGGCTGTCTGGATCCATCTATCTCTCCCTCCCAGCTGAGTGATTTTAGCAGGGAGATCCCTCTAACAGGAATTTTCAAAGGCAAATATTACAGGCTTGCCAAAAAGCATAAGAGAATGATGCAATAAGTACTGTGCAATCATCACCAAATTTTATAAACTATTAGAAAATTTTGCTCTATTTGTTTCAGATATTTTTTAAAGAATTTAAATTTAAAAGACAGAGTTAAAGCCTCCTGCTCACTCCCCCAAATCCCATTCCCCTTATGCCCTGTCCAGAAGCAACCACTGGTACTGGTAATTCTCACACCGGGTACACATAACAATGTATACTATTATTTATTTATACATTATTTATTGTATATTGTTATAGACTATAGTAAAAGGTATCATACCCCGAAACATGCTTTTTTCCCCCTTTCAACCTGAATTTTTGAGATGTGTCCACTTGAATACCTACAGCTTAAGTTCCTTCATTTAAACTGCCATGAGGTTGGGGTGCCTGGGTGGCTCAGTGGGTTAAGCCGCTGCCTTCGGCTCAGGTCATGATCTCAGGGTCCTGGGATCGAGTCCCGCATCGGGCTCTCTGCTCGGCAGGGAGCCTGCTTCCCTTTCTCTCTCTCTCTCTCTCTCTCTCTCTATGCCTGCCTCTCTGTCTACTTGTGATCTCTCTCTGTCAAATAAATAAATAAAATCTTTAAAAAAAATAAAAAAATAAACTGCCGTGAGGCATTCCACTGTGTGATTATACCATAATGTTTCTCCTCCACTGATGACTAACCTGTATCACAAACATAACGGCCAAAAACATTCTTATACCTGTGTCTAAGGTTCTTCCGGGTTTTTTTCCTAGAAGTTGAACTGCCGCCTGGAGGGTATGCTGATTGTTATCTGTACTAGATTTTGCTAAATTGCTCTGTGCGGTGGATGCACGAATTTATCCCCATTAACAGGGGCTGTAGCTCCAAATCCTCATCCATCCCAGCTTGTCAGATTTTCAAAAAAGCTTGTTTATCTGATGGGTATGAAAGAGGGTCCGTTTGTCTTTTTCTTTTGCATTTCCCTGATTGTTGGTGAAATAAGATTTCTTAATCGCTTGAGTTCCCTGTGGTGGTCTAGGTGGGGAGCTCACCTTCCCATATGCGCAAGGTAGTGGTCCTGCAGAGGTCCTGGCCATGGGCACACTCTTCCACCTGGCACTTCCCGGTCCTCCCACACAGCAAGCACTGCAGGCTCCAGGAGGCTGGGGGGTGGGGGCGGGAACAGGGAGGAGAGGAGAGATTGTTATAGCTTCCAGTGGGGGGTCCCCCCCCTTCATGCCCCAGTATCAGGACCAAGTCTCCAGGCCTTGTGCATTCAGGTTCGTGCTCCACATTCTGCCCGCCCTTTGGTTCCAGCACCGGCTTTGGGTCAGCAGAACTTCCGGTCTATCTCTAACCTCACATTTTATCTATACCCCCTACGCTAAAATTCTGTCTCCTCCCACAATCCTTCCCTAAAGTCCTACCCTGGCTCATTTTCCCTTGAATTGTGTATCAGCGCCCGGCTCATCCTGAGTCCAATCCCCACCCTCTCTGTCCATCTGGATATTCTAGCCCAGCTCCAATTTATGTCCCTTCCCCCATTCCACCGGCCCTTGGTCTATCCTGCTTCGCAAGCTCTCCTACAGGCGTTCTACCCTCACCTGATCTGCAGGTGATCTTTACCCCACTTCCTGGTGACCCCCACTGACTATACCCCCTATTAATGCCCCCAGACTCTACCCTTTTCCATAGCCTCTCCCCAACATTCTCTCCCCTCCCATTAGTCCAGGCCAAAGTTTTAACTTCACCCGTGAGGTCTCGGGAAGTTCTCACCGCAACTGCAGGAGCCTCCCCCAAGGTTCTCTCCCCGCCCACCAGCTTTTCCCGAGGTTCTAGCCCCGCCCACTAGTCCCTCCTACAGTCATAAATTTGCCCGCTACCCCCGCCCCAACACCTTTACCCGCCTCCCCGGCCTCCCCTGCTGGGGTCCATTCCCCACCCCAAATTCGCAGCCTTCTGGAGTCATTACTCAGTCTCGGCCGCGAAAGATCCGGAGACCGTTCCGGGTTATTCATGGTTGAGCCGTCCCGCAACCCCCTGTTCCCCGCCCCGCCCTGACTCAGTTCCTTCTCCCTTTCCTCTGGCTTTTCAACCCTCTCCCGCACGTTTCCCCGGAAAGGAGTTGAGCAGGTAGCTGGGGCATAGTGAAAGAGAAGGGTCCTCCAGGGACAAGGCCTGGATCCCCAACCCCTTTTTCTGCGATGTTCCGCCTCTGTATTTAGATCTTTTGTAAAATGAGGCTCACTGCTCCCTGTCTTTCCAGGGGCTGGGTCGGTGCGGGGGGGCGGCGGGGAGCCCCGCGCGAGTGGAGAGAGCTGTGGGACACCCCTGCGAGGCCAGAATCCCACTTACTCCAGGACTGGATGGAGGTTACCTCTCTGAACCTGTTTCCTTCTCCGTGAAACAGGGTTGAAATGCTTCTGCCTGTCCAGTTTGAAACTGCAGGGAAGGGGCTTGGAGGAGCGCCCGAAATAAAGAGCGCACTCCGCGGCGGCTGCTGTTCAGTGCCTTCGCTCCACTCTTATTTCCTGAGCACCTACTGCTTGCCAGGTACTATGCTGTGTGGGGCTGCAGACCGCTGAAGGATCACTACGTGAGGGGGAGGGCTGGGGACTGAGCTCCCTCCTCCAACTCCGAGCCCCCCGCCCCTCCCCCTCTTCGCTGTGTTCAGGACCCAGGTCCCCGCGCAGGTGTTTGGGTGTCCAGTCCCTACCTGGAACGCAGGTCTGAACCAAGAGCAGCAGCAGCGGCAGCAGCTTTGGGCGGCCCATGTCTGGCAGCAGATCCTGTCCGTGTGGCTCCGGGCACCTCTCAGTCTGGCCCAGGGAAGGAGACAGTTTTGTGCCCCCGGGGCTCCTCCCAGAGAGTTTGCGAAAGAGCGAGTCAGCCCCAGATGCGTGGGTGCTTCCACCTCCCCGCCCCTGACCCCTCCTCCTCAAAAACTTCCTTTGCCAGGGCGCTGCCAGGAGTGGGGGGGTGGGTGGGTAGGCTCCGCTCTGACTCATGTGGCCGCTGTCAAAGCTGTCTCCAGGCTGCCAGGGTGCAAACTCAGTGGCCTTCCACAGCTCACTTCCCAGAGCTGGAGTCCCAGCCAGAGGCAGGGCCCGCTGAGAGACACCCTGCAGCGCCAAGCGAAGTCCTTGCCGCAGCGGCTGGCCTCGGGGACAGACAGCACCAAGCGGTGACTGCAACAGACATATCTTCCTAGCGCTGCCCAGGGTCGCAGGGACGAAGATCCTACAGATGTCGCAGGGGCTGGTGGGCTAACAGCAGTCCGGACCAGCCCCTGTGGCCTTTAGCTGCTGGTGCTGAGCATCCACCCCCCCCGCCCCGCCCCCACCTTCCTGTACTAGTATAATTGAAATAAAATATATTTTGTTGTGTCAAAAAAAATACACACACACACATACACCAAATTCTAATTCTCCCTCCCCCTGCTGTGGGACCTTGGGGGAAGGACCTCTGCTCTCTGGTTAATATTTGTCCTGATAGACTCAAAGAGGGAGACAAACCATAAGAGACCCTGAACTCTAGGAAACAAACTGAGGGTTGCTGGAGGAAAGACGGGGTAACTGGGGGACGGGCTTCATTAAGGAGGGCACCTGATGTGATGAGCACTGCATGTTGTATGCAACTGACCAATCACTGAACTCTACCTCTGAAGTAATAATACACTGTATGTTAACCAATTGCATTTAAATAAAATTAAAAAAAAAAAAACCAAACTTGTCCTGATGGGACATTTGTTGTTGCTGATCATTAATTATTGTTAGGAGTTTTTTTTTTTTTTTTCTTGGAAGTCTTTTTTTTTTTAAGATTTTATTTATTTATTTGACAGAGAGAGATCACCAGTAGGCAGAAAGGCAGGCAGAGAGAGAGGGAAGCAGGCTCCCCGCTGAGCAGAGAGCCCGATGTGGGCCTGGATCCCAGGACCCTGAGATCATGACCTGAGCCAAAGGCAGAGGCTTAACCCGCTGAGCCACCCAGGCGCCCTATTGTTGGGATTTTTGTTAGTTTTGTTAGGAGGGATAATGGTGTTGTGGTCACATGGGGAAATGTCTTTATCACTAGAGATGCACCCTGGAATATTTGGGGATGAAAGAATATAACGTCTCTAATTTACCTTCAAACACTTCAGCCAAAAAGTAGATACTGCTGTTATGAAAATGGTCCTGTGGTTATGTGGAAAGCTGTTCTTGGTTTTTAGACACTCACTGAAGTAGCTAGAGGTGAATGTCAAGGATGTCTGCATTTACTTTAAAATGCTTTAGGAAAAAATGTAAGGCAGTATCTCAGGGTAATTTCCGTGCCATTCTGTCTCCTTTTTCTGTGTATTTGTAAAGGTCCTCATTAAGTTTTTTTTTTTTAAGATTTTATTTATTTGACAGGCAGAGATCACAAGTAGGCAGAGAGGCAGGCAGAGAGAGAGAGGGGGTGGGAAGCAGGCTCCCCACTGAGCAGAAAGCCCAATGTGGGGCTTGATCCCAGAACCCTGGGATCATGACCTGAGCCAAAGGCAGAGGCTTTAACACACTGAGCCACCCAGGCGCCCCCATTAAGTTTTTTTAAAAGTAAAATAAAATGTAGGGGCGACTGGGTGGCTCAGTCGGTTAGGTGTCTGTCTTGACTTCCACTCAGGTCATGACCTCAGGGTGGTGAGAAGATGGAGCCCCCCATTGGGTTCCACGCTGAGCATGGAGCCTGCTTAAGATTCTCTCTCTCCTTCTCCCTTTGCCCACCCATCTCCTCCTCATGTGTGCTCTCTCTCTCTCCCATTCTCTTGAAAAATAAAAAGTAAAAAAACATAAAAGATAAAATTGTCTAGTCTCTCCATCTCTGCGTGCTTCTGACCCACCAGAGCAATTTTACGCTGGTGAAGTTGCCTGAAACAGTTGTTGGCCCACAAGGAGGGCTCAACAAATTCCTTCAGCATTTACCAAGAACCTACTCTGTACCAGGTACTGGTCCAGGAGGAGCTGGGGACACAGCAGGAAACAAAGCAAAGTGCCTGCCCTTGACAATGAAGAGTTAATATGTGTTATTTAGTCTGTGGCTCTCAGGCAGTGGTAAGTAAAACAGAGAACAGCAAACCAGGAGGCAGGAAGTACAAGGATACAAGTGAGGCATGGTTGGTTTCAGGTGTGGTGATGCTGCTGGCTTCCCTGAGCAGGTGGCATTTGAGCAGAGGCTGAGTGTGGTGAGGGCAGAAGTTGGGTAGATGATCCAGGAAGAGTTCCAGGGATAGGCAACTGCCAGTGGGGGCAGAGTGGGGGGTGTCCTGACAAGCTCTAGGAACAGAAGAGCGACTAGAGTGGCTGGAACAGAATAGGGGAGGGAGAGGATAGTAGGCAATGAGTAAGTAGTAGCTATCTCTACCAGTATAACAATGAGTATAGTATTATTACTTTTACTAATTCACTGAAGCCTTAAGGTAATAATTTTAAGGTAAAGTATGAAAAGTCCCAAAAAAATCCTCCCTTCTAAGAGGCAGTAGAGCCTAGTGATTAAGATATGGGGGCTGGCACCAGACTGGAAGGGTTAAAATTCCAGCTACACTCTACTCTGTGGGTTTGGGCAGGATATTTAACCTCTCTGGGCCTCCAGCTCCTTCACAAGTGCCTCTCTCCCAGGGCTGGCGTGCTAGGGACATAAAAAAATGCCCCCAGGGCACGTGCCACCTGCCTGACGTGTGGCACATGCTCAGTAGAAGACTCTAACTCCTACTGATTATTGTTGGGTGGGCTCTCCAGAGCTTTCTCTCCATGGTGGGTGGGGAGAGAGGTGGAGACATTCTAAGGGTTTGAGGTCAGGGGAGGTCATGCCCCTGGCTGCAGGACTAGACTACTCCTTGGTCACCCTGGGCCAACAGATATCTTCCCTCTAGAGCCTAGGGTTCTCTCATGTGGAAAGTGGGGCCCCTCTTGCAGGTGGCATGAAGACCAACTGAGGTGGGGAAATACACAGTTGGGGTGTTGGTCCAGGAAGGCTTGCGATCCAGCCTCCTGGCAGGATGACCTCACTGCTCTTAGGTCACCCTCTTTTATTATTATTATTTTTAAATTTATTTAAAGAATGAGGGAAATATTTTGGAGCCCACCCATTCCCACCTCAGACTGCTCTAGTCTCTCGAAATCTGTCTGTTGTTCCCCTCCTGTGTCTGTGTTTTTCTTTGTTTCTCTGTTTGTCTCTCTCAACCCCTGTGTCTCACTTTCTCTGACTCTGTCACTCTAGCTCTCCCTGTCTCTGTCTCTTTTTTCCTGTCTCTTTCTCTGCTTCTCTTTTCTGTCTCTCCATCCCTGTTTTTAATGTCTCTCTAGGCTTGTCTTTCTGTCTCTCTGTCTCTGTGACTCGTTCCTTCTGTCTCTCCCTCAGGTGACACACACCTGTGAGGTCCAGTGACGTGGCACGGGAGAGGGCGGGCAGGAGGCTGGGCCCGTGCACAATCCCAGAAGAGCGGCAGGAATGTCCGCTCTTTCCTCCTGGTGACTCATCTGGGCCTCGCCCAGCTCCTACCTGCCTGCTGGGTCCTGAGGGAGGCCCACAGGTTTCGGGGGCTTCCCTGGGCTGAGGAGGGGAGAATCTCATGCAGAGTCAGAGAGGGCGAGAGATCCAGAGAGACAGAAAGGGAGAGACAGTGAGAGAGGAAGAGGGACGGAGCCAACTGACAGACTGACGCCAGGGCAGTCAGAGAGGGAGAGAGATCTCTCCACCTGAGAGAGGGACAGAGACAGTGAGAAATGGAGGGACAGAGACAGAAGCAGAGGGAGCTGGAGAGAATGAACCCCGATGGACCTCAGAGAGAGCAAGTAGAGACGTGGAGAAATTGCGCACGTCCATCTAGGATAGCCTCCTGCCACCTGCCTGAGGAGGGGACCACCTCTGGCCTGGCTGTTGGTGGGAGGACAGCTGTGGCCATTTCCTCCCCAGCTCCAGGGGACACTGATGTGACTTTTCCATCCTGGCCTGGCCGCCTCCCGGATGCAGGGACATCTCCTCTCAGGGCCTCCCTCTGAAAAAAAAAAAAAAAAAAAGAGGGGGACAAAAGAGGAACCCCTCCCAGGGAGCAAAAGAGCTGGAAACCCCTGAACTCCACACCCCCTGCTTCCCCATTTTCCAGGTAGAGAAACTGAGGCCCAAGGAAGAAACTTTATTTTTATTTTTATTTTATTTTTTATTAAAAAATTTTTTCTCAGGGCGCCTGGGTGGCTCAGTGGGTTGAGCCTCTGCCCTCGGCTCGGGTCATGATCTCGGGGTCCTGGGATTGAGCCCCACATCGGGCTCTCTGCTCAGCGGGGAGCCTGCTTCCCCCTCTTTCTGCCTGCCTCTCTGCCTACTTGTGATCTCTCTCTCTCTATCATGTAAATAAATAAAATCTTAAAAAAAATTTTTTTTTCAAAGAGGAAACTTTATTTTTTATTTTATTTTTTTTAATATTTTATTTATTTATTTGACATAGAGAGAGAGAGATCACAAGTAGGCAGAGAGGGAGGGGGAAGCAGGCTCCCTGCTGAGCAGAGAGCCTGATGCGGGGCTCGATCCCAGGACCCTGAGATCATGACCTGAGCCGAAGGCAGAGACTTAACCCACTGAGCCACCCAGGCACCTCCAAAGAGGAAACTTTAAATGAGGCTCCCCTTTACTGAGTGCTCGTGACATGCCCCGTGATATTCTGAGTGCCTTCTCTAGATACACTGGTCACCCTCCCAGTACCCTATTTTATAGTTGAGAGAACTGAGGCTTTGGGACGCATGGTCAGCTGAATACTGGCCCCCAAAGAGCTCCGGGTCCCAAGCCCTGGAAACTGTAGGTGGTACTGTATGTGGAAAAAGGGTCTTTGTGGATGTGCTTTTAAGTCAAGGATCTCAAGACTGGGACAGTATCCTGATGATCCGCATAGACCCTCCATGTAATCCTCAATGTCCTTACAGAGGGAGGCTGGGGACGTTTGACTATAGACAAGGGTAGGAAAGCAGGGTTGCTACTGGTTTTGAAGGTGGGGGAGGGGGCCAAGAACAGAGGGATTCTGGGAGCCCTGCTCTGACTGCTGGAAAAGGCAAGGCAACCTTGCTCTCTATAGGAAGCACTGTCCTGC